TCCTTAAGGAATGAATTGTACTCCTGGAAGTCAAATGGTGGTCCACCATCTGAAGATATCTCTTCTGGTGTGCCATATGTGTAAAACCAATCTCGCATGGTCTTGCATATCACTTTAGCCTTCCCTGATAGTAGTGAAGCTACTTCTACCCAGCCAGTGTACTGGTCTGCATACACCATATAACCCTTCCCATGCAAGTCAAAAATTTCTGTGACCCTCTTTTGGAATGAAAATTCTGGGTTTGGTGGTGGCATCAGGGGTTCTCTGGGATGATGTGGGGCAATTGTGTTACATACTGGGCTTTGGTTTGTCAGATACTGGCGTTCAAGCCAGGCCAAAACATCCATTGTTGTATGTTCGGCATCATTTCATTGACGCTCTGGTGTGCAGAGTGGAGACCCTCAAGTACCTTGGCATGAAGCTGCTTTGGTGTAAGGATTTTATTCTCCTTTAAAGGCATACCCCACAGGCAATACATTTGGACTCACACTGGCCAAAATTGTCGAATTTTTGGTGGTAATTTATGGTGTGACTCAGGGAATCTTTTGAATGTACTCTGCTGATATACAGCATTCCTCATTGGTGACTGCAGCAGTCACAACCCTGTCCCAGGATGTAGCTCTCAGTTTAGGATCATGTGCATATGTAGATACAACTGATGCTTTCATGCCGGTCAATATGCTGGGTTCTGTTATTGGTCGTTGCCCTGATGTGTTTTGATGATGCCGGATATCTGGAGCTGGAATCCAGTGCGGCGTTCAGCTTCCCTGGAACATGCTTAATGCAGAATATGTACATCAGAAACCATTCTTTGAAAGCAAACAGGCAGTTTTTTTTAATATTCTCTAGGACCTGTTCTGAAAATATTTTCACCAGTGGTTGTTGATCCACAGTGACAAGGTAGTCTGGACATCTTAATATGAACATTCTACAGGACTCCAGACCATACACGAGGGCTAGGGCTTCCCCTTCTGTGGGGGAATAGAGGGATTCTGTGTCTGTTGTAAATCGGGATCCAGCTAGGATTATTTTCCAGTAGTTCTCACCACAGTTAGGACTAGATTCTGTTGGGCATCGGTAGTATTTTTGAAAAAAGAAAGTAATCAATGTTGGTCTTACTAATGTCCTTGGAGAGACATGGCACCCTATCCATCTCAAATGTTTTGACCCTTCTCTTGAACTTCTGTACGATGTTTCATTTCGACTTTTCAAAATATTGGTACTGTGTTGCGTCCTAGTAAAATTTCCCGTTTTTTTCTATATAATAATTCCTGGAAGAGGGCAATTGCCTCAGTCTGCAAGAATGTGTATGATACCTTATTCACTAATTCAAACCAGGAATTGATAGTTGTGATATTTGTGGGAGTCAGGAAGTTGAGAATGGCTTCTGTTATTCTTTTGGTTGGCTTTATACCATCGGCCTTTATTAAGAAGCTAAAAAAAATCTTCATCTTCTGCAAATTGAGACTTGTTGGGATTGAAAACTATTCCATTCCTGCCACAGTGGGTAATGTATTCCAACAAGTGCCAGAACACAGTTTCTATGGACACATCCCAAAAAAGTGTATTGTCAATGCAACAGGTTTTTTGGGGTGTATCTACTGTAATATCATCAAATCAGTGGGTGTACCCATCCCTCAATGCACAGAACCCTTGGGGTGCTCTAAGGTACCAGTACTAGCCCCATTGCATTATGGATGTTCTTATGTCTTGTGCAGCTGGGGAGAGTGGTAGGCTGTGGTACCAATTCCATGCATTCAGAACTGTTTTCTTGGTTTAGTCTGGTACAGTAGACACTTGATTGAATGGGGATGGAGTGTGGTGGGTCTCCGTCATTGTAACAGCATTTAGATTTTGAAGATCTGCTGTTCTTTTGGGTGACCCATCCTTTTTTGGTGCAACTACCATTCTCGGGCACCAATTTGTCGAGGTACCTGCTGGTACCGGTTTGATGATATTAGGTGCAGCATCTCAGTTGGGGTCTTCTTTTACCCTCTTTTTAAGGTGGTGAGGGACCAGAGTAGGTGTGTGTACTGCTGACAGTGTTACTCTTTGGACAAAATTTATGACCAATGGCCTCCCCATCACCACCTGTAATGGTTGGCGTGGGCATGTGTTAAATGTGTTCACTCTAAGTTGGTCCTGTAGCCATCGCTCTAAAAAGTTCCTATTATTTTTGATAGGAGGAGATAGGATGTTGGCTAGTTCACCTGGGACCGTTATTCTTTGGGGACACACACACAATGGCTTTTTGTTGATGATGGCGGACGTGTTAATTTTGGACATCTAGTTTGGGAAATTATAATGTATTAAATCCAGGTGTTTTAGGGCCGACTCTAAAAGGTAGAAACTTGATGTGTTCTCTGAGGCATAAACAACTTTGTTTCTCTATGGTTGACATTGATGCACATGAAGAGTATGCCTTTAATATGCAGCTGATCGTTTATTGTACTGCATATCCTATGATTAGTTGGTACCAGGTATACATTGGTGCATCTCCAGTATCTTCGTTCCACTGGAACAGGCATGCAACACAGTGTCATTCAGGGTATCTCCAAATTTGGCATGGGATTTGGCTATTGGAGAAACCTCTATTTTCAGGGATTGCGGTAGTTCCAGAGAGTCCTCTTGGAACCGGTCTTTATCCTAAGTGAGGTGTGGTACTGTTCATCTCCATCCACAGGATGTTTTACTGTACCTATTTTCCCCATTGCCAAATATTGTTGACTGCTCCTTCGTCATACTACTTGCCAATTCCATGGTGTGTCCTTTCTTTGATTTTCAATACTTTTTTTACTAAGTGGCCTATTATTCCCCAATTGAAGCACCCTAGATTAACTGCTGAACATTTCTTCTGTGCTCTCAGTCCATTGGGATGTGATATCTTTCTACACCTTTTGCATACCATCCCTTGTGAACCTTGAGTATTATCACCCTTGGACCACCTCCTCTGCTCTGACCACATGGTGTTAAATGCCGTAAGCAGGGCTAGACTGATTTGTAAGTGGGAAGTTGCCTATCATTTCAAGGCTTGTCAACCTGTTAAATTTCTTTTCTATCATAGTGAAAGTATTAGCTTCAGCTAGTACCTTACCTTGGTGTTTGGTGTTACTGAGTATAAGGTGACCAGCCACCATATCCTTCGAATAATTGACTCACTGGTTACAACTTTTATTCGGACACTGGATCGTAAATTCATAGAACTTTGCCTGCAACTGTAACCTCACTAAGAAATGTCTGACACCTTCCCCCTCTTGTTGTCTCATGTTGTAGAATGTCTGCCTATGTACCTCCTTGTGCAGACCTTTAATGGCAAAGATTCGTATCTGACAAAGGAGCTGTTGTTCTGTGGTTGTGGTGAGGGTTTCTACCCTGACCAAGTCGAACAATAACCTATTCACTTTGGTGGAACATGCAGTTCTTAGCTCATTTTGGATTGCTGATGGGTTTGTTAGCCCACTTTTCTTTTTATCAATTCCACAAATTGATGAGCAGTGCCCAATCACTGTCAGCAGAACCCTGTTCAATAGTGGGTCTTTCTGGGTTTTCCAACACTGACTGACTTTTGAGCATTTCCATGGCAAAGTTCTTTGTTCTCCTTCTGCAGTTTCACTTGTTGCTGAACAATTTTAGATTTACAGTGTCCTGTTCTGAAGATGTTTTCAGTGTAAGAGCACATTTGTTGGTAGGTAAATACTGTTTGCGGCGCCATGCAACTTAGTCCATCTAAAGTCAAGCATCCTTGTCTGCCCAAGTTGCACAGTATTTATATTATCCCATACTTACTGGTTTTCCACTTGTGACCACACCTAGTTCATTCTGCCTTCCCTATGGGCCTCTCTACTCTACAATCTAGTTTTTTTTTTGTTTTTTTTTTCTAATATGAATTCAGTTTAATATTTTTTTTAAGAAAATGCATAATGACAGCCAAGGTGAAAGTGATTCGAGCATGTTGCAGGTAAGTTTATGCATTTCCCAAATTGTTGTGGGCATCATTAACTCAGTTTTTTAGGTGAAAAATAATGTGTCTCCTGAAATATACCACAACAAAAAATGGTGAACTCTAGATACGAGTCCATGTTCACTTTTGAACCGACTGCTCGGTTGAACTCTCTTCCTACAGATGGGAGGAACCCGAAGGAGGCTCTGCCGAAGGACAGAGTCTCCTTCGGGGAGGTAAACCGGCCCTGAACCTGTTTATACGGGTTCAATGGGAATATTTTTGGTCGAGCCCCCAGGCTCGGAATGTCCAAGTTAAAAAGGCCTTGTGCCACATGACACCCTCGTGGGGGGTGTGACTCAATATCATAAAGACATGCAAAGAAACGACAAGAACCAATATATATGTACAAACAAATGATAATGTATTAACAACAATGGTATATAAGTGACCATGACAAAGATGTGTGTATCAAATGAATCTGAAAACTGTTTTGGTTCAATGTATGTGAATGTGGCTATGTGTATATATGTATTGTTCATGTGTTTTCCAAAGGAAATGTGTTCTCTGTGAAAGATTTACATGTTGATGAATAAGCAGATAAGGTAAGAATAGAGTGGAAAAAAATATCACAGAGTACACCCTTGATAGCCCTAGCGAAGCATCAAGAATTCAGCTATTTGACAAGATTATGAACTACACCAGTCAAAGTATTGGTGAGTTCAATTTCGGCTGAGGCCGCAAGATGATGATAGTCCAGAGAGTGTCCCTTAGTAACGGTTTCAAAAATTAGGAAGAGGTAACCTAACGAGTGTGACAGTTTGGGAAAAATGCAGTAAGTGCTTTATACAGTTTTAAAATGCATCAGTAAAGAAAATATAAGGAAAAGATTAAAACTGTAAATTGTATCAATTTTTTTTTCTCTTGTTATTGTTAATTGTAATTTTTGTCAATTCTGTTGGACATTTCTTCCAATTACGTTTAAACATGGTCAATTACTCTACAAAAATATCCATTAAGTTTTGCAGCTATAATTTGTATTATTTTCTTTTTATATAAGGTATTTGAGATTGGCAATAAGATGCATCTTATTCATTCTGCTGCTCTCCTTGCTGTTCCAATGACGCATCGACCAGTGATGGTAAGTAGATAAGAAAAATCATATATATATATATATATATATATATATATATATATAACATTTGAAGATTTCTCTAGTTTATAGATGGCTTGGAGTGAGAGATTGGATATCTGAGTTTGAATCCCAGTCAGGTTTGTTACACACAAATATTGTTGTACAGTGCCACAAACTGGTGTGAATGTAGATCCATGTTTTTGAAAAGTGAGACTAGTTTATAGATGGCTTGGAGTGAGAGATTGAGGATCTTAGTTTGAATCCCAGTCAGGTTTGTTACATTTACTTACGCACAAGTACCTTTGGGCAAGGTATGAATCCATCTCCTCCTCCCAACTATCGGTTAAATAGTAAGACTTGTATCTGGAAAAATCATTGTTATTCTCAAAAATTCAGTTGCAAAAAAAGAATTACTCTTACATTCCAAAATGTGTTTCAGCATTTAAAAAAAAATAAACAGGAAACAAGTGATAAACCCAGTAGAATGCAGAAGTGAGTAGGGGAGGAAGTGTGTGTGATGGCCTCAGGCATTCATATTGGGAGGGAAGGCATCCGATCAAAGGGTGAAATAAAAATTTAGGTTTTAAAATTTGAAAATTAAAATTGTCTCTGTTTGTTGTACAGTGCCACAAACCGGTGTGAATGTAGATCCATGTTTTGATAAGTGAGACTGGAGTAGGCCTGCATACTTGAGTCTTGAGGGCATACAATCAAGGAATTGGCCCCAGGCATCACCAAACCTCTGCATGTCACTGGATAAACCTATATTCAAGAGACCAGTCCGAGATGACAAGTCACATTAATATAATTTAACTCACAAGACATTTGGTCCTAACATATATTGTGAGATTGATCTCAAGGTTATTTATGGTCACTAGAGATCATGGAGTAGTTTCTATCAAAAGTAAAAAACATATTTGTGTTTCTGTAGAAAAAGAAAAGTCACAAATGGAAATAGTAGTTGCCCAGCTGTCAAAGCAGAAAAGCTCCTGGATTCTGAATGATGTCATTCGTATGTATCTGTGCCACAACCATAGATTGGCTATAATTCGTTGCTGACTATGCATCATCATTCATATGCAAATTAGGACAATTGCCATATGCAAATTTATTTAGCAGTGATGCTATCTATATTGATAGATTGACTTCTTTAAACAGTCAATTCTTCAATAGAACAAAACTCTTCCCAACATCAGACATACTCAAGTCAACGTTTTTTTCGTGTCTGTCTGATTCTTTCTTACCTTTTTGCTATGAAGTACATAATTTTTGCCTTTGTACTTGAATTTATTCTTCTTGGAGTTGTTTTAAGCAGAAGTTGTTCTCTATTGATATTTACTAAGCTTCGCTAAGTACAGCATGAAGCCAGAAGTGAAGTGTACCCAATGAGGACTATAGTCACTACTTTGTTTATACTCTACGTGGGTAATTTGTAATTTATTATTCTTCGGCAAGACAAAAACATTTTAATTTACATAGGATTCCAGGTACGAAAAGGGGAGATGATTCTTTTCTAAACTTATGAGTTAATTCCCTTGATCTAAAATATTTTTCTAGATTTTCAATATTCCAGGTTTATTGTGAGATAGAGAGAATACTATTTCGGGCTTAAAAATCTTATTTCTTTTGAGTATATTTATTTGTAAATTTTTTGATTATCTATCTCTTTGCGATGCTAATTTTAATTTATGTTTATTTTTATGGCTGTTATTTTTTTCTTTTCTTTTTTTTCAGGCTGGATTTCTTATGAGTGTTGGCATGTTGCTTTTTTGTGGCAGTTGCTATTATCATGCAATTACTGGAGACAAAAGTATTCGATGGATAACTCCTTATGGTGGGGCGCTGTTGATTTTTGGATGGGTATCCATTGCTATCTGATAAAGAGAAAAAGCTTGGACATTGTCAATAACAAATTAAAATGCCTATATAAATTTGTTTACTTGATTGATTTTCAATTTATGCACTGAAAGAAATAAGATCATGGTTGATTTTATGCTGAAGATTTCTAGTAAAAATTGAATTCATATTCTAAGTGTTTTTTAATGTTTGTTTTTTTTTTGTTATTATTTTTCTTTAGCAGAATATGGCTGCCATTTTTGTTTTTTTCATGAAAATAACTTTAAAAAAATGTCCATAACTTAAATTTGTTTCTTTCTGTGCCGTTGCCTTTACAAAATAATATTCAGAAAGAAACATAAATTTTATACAAATGAAAGAAAAACAACATATTTCTATGATTTTCTTTTCTTTGATCACCTGAGTTCTTACCTGTGTCCAATAGAAATGAATGCATTGGAAGAGGAATCACAGTTACATATAATTTGCAGAATGTTAATATTATCCATTTCCTTATAAGGAAACATTTGGCATTTATTGACTGAGCAGCCAGTGCTACATTCAGTTGAAATTTATAGAATAATTTTGATAAAACAAATTTTCAAGGAAATAGGTTTCTCAGGTCTATTGTTATCGTTCTTTCTCGTATTGACGGGAGTTTCTCTTCTAAGTTGTTGTTTGAATTAGTGTGGAATGTCAACATCTTGATTAGGTCATTATTTTCTCTGATTTATGTGTACCATCCATTTTAATTGTTGTTGCTTGTGATAGTTCTTGAGTGATATAGTTTCTGTTATTTGGTACAGTTCTTTGCAATTCTGTAGAAGAAGGATAGTCCTCCCTAAGACCTACAAGATTTATGAATAATACAAATTGGATTTTAAAAACAATCTGCAGATAATGCTATCAGATTTAAAGGAAAAATGATTTTAAAAATATGGGGAAAAATAATATGTGTAAATATTTTAATAATAATTGTTTTATGGTTTGAAAAGAAAAAGTAAGAATATGTTTCTTTCAATATATTGCACGTTATACCACATTTCAATATGTTCTTTCATATCTTCCAATATATTGCATTTTAAATGCCTTCCAATATATTGCATTTTAAACGTCTTCCAATATATTGCATTTTAAATGTATTCCAATATATTATATGCTGTCCCACTTCAGGCTGTGTGTTTTTCTGTTTAGAATTTTTTCACAAACAAAAATGTAAATTTTTAATTTGTACCAAATTACGAAATTAAAAATGTACTTTTTAAAATGCAATATATTGGAAGATATGAAAGAATATATAGTAATGTGGTACAACATGCAATATATTGAAAGAAACTGAAAATATGGAATAAAGTTTGTGAATCAAAATTCTCCCCATTGACAAAACAAGTTGAATATACAACTGACAAAAAATACAACATATTCTTACTTTTTCTTTTCAAACCATAAATGTGATGTAACATAAGACTCAACAAAGTTGTTCAGTCATTTCTGCTTTGTTCCTGATCTCTATGCCTACATTGTAATTTGAAAATCAACATGGCTTCAGTGTAACACAGGAGTCACAAAGGCTTCAGTGTAACACAGGAATCCTGTATATAAACACAAGGAATGATGACCTCTTTTAAATGACAAAAACTGCAGTTCAACAAGAAATACATTTATTAATGACAAAGAATTAATTGAATGCCTCTTGTTAATTTTAAGATTTTAGTGCTTGTTGAACATATTTTAATACATATCTTTTTTTATACCAGACTAGCATTAATTTTGATTATTTTATTAATAATATACAAAGAAATGACTAAAATAAAATATATGCTTACACTAAAAATTAATGCTTGTCTGATATAAAAAAAAATGTCTTAAGCTAAGTCTCACTAGTAGAACAATGAACATGAAAAGTTCAAGAACCTTGACTTTTTAGAGATTTTTTAGCCAATGTTCATGACAGAAGTTTGAGAAGAACAGGATTGGTTGATTATTTTAAGATTAAGTAAAAGAATGTGTTTATATTAATTACTGTCTCTGGTCTTCTGTTAAACTCTTCCTAAGTCCTAAATGAAAAATTTCTGCATATATTTATACTATTTCTGTGGTTTAACACCAGTCTAGATATTGCTTTTGATATATGTGCTAGTTGATACGTACATTAGTCAGTGGATACATATATATGGGTTGTTTGATATGTGCTGACACAACACCAGTTTATGGACTCAACATGTTAGTATGCCACACTTGCTGTTTTTGTGTGTCATCATGAGGTTAATTAATTTTTTTTTTGTGTGTAAACAATATAGAGATCATTTGCCCAGTGTATCTCAAAACACACTTTCACTTTACCCTGTAATTTGTCATTGTGAGAATATCTATGTCGGTCATGTAGCATAAACATGAATTTTTCTTTTTTGGCAAAATTATATTCTTGACCTTTGAGGATTACTGATCAATTGCTGGGTTAGTGTTAAAAGAAAACAAAATCTGAACTTTTAGGTTTTATTTCAGGGTAACTTGCTATTTGATATGCCCATTTTTTTTATTGGGTTCAAAAGCAAAACATTATGGGATACCCCCTTATATTGATATATTCTTTGATGACCTCCAAACCACTTATATAGCTTGTTGTTGGTGTCACTAGGGACGGTCATGACTGACAAGCTGCAAGTTTTGATGAGAAACATTTTCAGAAAAAATCTTGTGTATCAAGAAAAAGATGGGCTGACATAGGCTACAGTAAATAAGAGAGAAATTTTGGAACTCCTTAAATTTGTGAAATAACAAAACTGAACTTTGAGCATTTTTCTTCTCTCTTTTTTCCAACCTGATCCGTAAGGTCTGTTATAAACCATGTAGTTAAACATTTTTTTTTTTTAATATTGGTCACCCAATACAAGGTACTCAAGGTAGAATGGTACTGAATGAGGTTTTTGTAAAGGGAAGAAGTAAGTAGTGAAAATTATGAGGATATGTAGGATAGATAACGGTTATTCCTAGACTTAGTGTATAAGATTGTTATGATTACGGAAGCATACACTTGGGAGTCTGTTCCTGTTATATACCTACCTATGGACTCTAATGGGTATGTCCCAATCCTTATAAATATATTGGACACTATTGTAAGTGGAGGTAATATGCTATGTAAGTAGTCCAATACTAGCAATGGTTTACCTACTTCATGCTGCTGGCAAGTATTGTATTTTGTTGATGTCATAAAGATTACTATTTCATTTCTAACCTCCATTTTGGTTATTCCTTATTCAGTAAACTTTTCTAGGATACATCAGTTCCACAAAGCAAGTTCAAGAAGAGAAATTGATTGGAAGTTCTTTAAAAATGGAATATGAAAGGAATAATGAGTTGACACTGTGTATGCTGCATGGCAGGTCTAGTGTAAGTAACAAATGTAGCTTGTCTGAACAATAGTTGTGTGAGGTTAGCAACATTTTGCTATCCTTTCCCTCGTCTCACCGCACCTGTCTGACGACTTAATGCTCTGCACCTGGATTTGAGTAACATATGTGCATTTAGCTGTGACTGTCAGCATTTGTGAATATATTAAAAATGTCTTTTTGTCAAATTAAATATGCACTCTGATCAGTGTGAAGTACCTCGTTTCATCTTTCTTGAAGGTTCTGTCTTTTTACTGATCAGAGACTGTCTGAAGTTCATATTTCCTATTCACCCCCTCTCTCTTGTGGTCAGTCTATGCTTGACCTCATCAGTGTGACAGTAATTTATTGAACCAAGTTGATTTTTGTAAAATGTCATTTATAAAGTTTTGAGTAAAAAAGAATTTCATTGATGATAATAAGTTCTGTAAACAGATTTTTAGATGCACAGTAAACAAAATAACTTTTTTTCATCATTGTTGAATTATTCAGTGCATGTCAAGGTTTTAATGACTATCTCAGAAGTTTTAATCTTATTGTTAGTTATATATTGTAACCTAATCACCTGTGAAAAAAAGAAAAAAAAAAGTTTTTGATTCACCAGTCTACATGTTGAAGGGAATCAAACCCACACCTTGGCTTGGACATGTCTGGTGTACATAAAAATTGTGGTCTCTTGAATAACTGGCTTTTTAGAGAACACAGGCTCTCAACATAAATGGTGTTATTGCATATGTCGGTCTGCTAATTTGCGTGAGAATGGTGACACTTCATCAACAATCAATCAATGCTGATTTGAGCCTGTGACTATACATATACAAAACACGTTTCTACATGTCATTAGGTGTGTTGGCTGGTAGTGACAGTTGGGAAGGGGCTACTCAGATATGTGACTTCACTTTGCTATACCTTGAATTTGTGACTGTTTTGTTACATCTCAAACTTGTAAGTTCATTTTTTTCTACAGTTCTACATTTTTTTCTACAGTTCTTACAAACTTGTAAGTTCTATTTTTTTTATTGCATCATTCGTTATTACACATTCAGAAATAAAAATGAAAGTGAATATATATATATAATGATGGACTTTCCCATCAATTTCAACATATAAGGATCCGACAACCTCATTAAGTATTTTTTTGTGTGATATGTGACACTTCAGTTCTGCTTACAAGTCCTCTTATTTTGCAACATCAATGATCTTGGGATGTAGCAACAGGAATATTTACTGACACTTTTCACCATTTTCTTTTGTCACAGCCTGTTAATATGAATGATTTCAAAATATTTTATACCACTCTGGCACAAATATCTCCAGTTATTTCTAGCGGGCTGTTTTATGCTAGACGATTGCATCTAGCAGGAAACAGCCTGTCGCCTCTGAGTGTTGACTTGAATGTTCACTTCACTTTTATATTTATATTTACATATGCTCTATCTCTGATATTGAGCACTTTATCCCATAAATATCATAAATATAGCATGCCTTAAAATTATATTTCTTCACACACACACACATATATATATGTATAAATATATATGTATAATGATAAAGAAAAAGCACAGTAAGATTTATAATCCAGTGTTCTTATTAATTATTTTTATTTTTAAAAAACTGCTCAATACAATTCTGCAGAGCATAAATATTATAAAT